CTCAAGAAGCTCTTCAATCCAAAAATCGTATTTCGCAACTCGGGCCTGAAACACAATCGTATATGCGAATGAACATGGATTTTTTGAAAAACGACCGTTCGAGCAACACTTCCAATTTTTCACGAACTGATAATTTGCATTTTTCCAAAAAATTTGCATTTATCATTTTTTCACAAAGTGAGCATTTACCGAAAAAACAACCGGACTTCATGCAAAAAATCGGTAATCATGCACCTGGATGTCCGTGCGGCTCTATAATGTAAATGACGCCTTTCCTCCTGCATACTGGAAAGGATCAAAGAACGCCAATATGACCCGAGTGTTAGTCTACAGCGTAGGGATCATTCCTGCTAATAGCGATCAGTGAGCTAAGCGCAAAAATGCATGATTGCATCGGAGAGCCTGGTACGTTCCAGCCTGGGTTTGCATCTGTATAAGATGCAAAGACGTATCAAAACAAATAATTTTTTCCCGGGTTGTTCATTTAATAAAAAAACGAACAAAAGCAGATTAATATGAGCTCTGGGCTTGAACTTGTGAAACAAGATTCTTGAAATCTGAATTTATATTACTGATACGTTTTCCAGATTGCCGTCTATTAGCCTCGTGCGTGTTTTAGTTTTATTATGCGTTTTGTGCTATGGAATAGCTGCACAAAACGCAAACTGTCACGGGTTTGTCTGTGTGTACTTTTGTGTGTGTGTGTGTGTGTGTGTGTTTGTGTCCGATGTATCTTGTTCGCAGCTTTTAACTCGGTGACCGCAAAAGTTAGCGTGCTAAAAATTTAGAGGATTATTCCCATGCCAAAATTCAATTTCAGCCTTTTCCTCCCACTCGGAACTGCGTACGACACCGTGAAACTTTTGGCAGAAAAAATTATCTCGGAAATCATAATGACCAGGAAGCTAAATCTCTGGGACATCGACTCCTGCTACGACTTCGCGCATTTAAAATCAGCCTTTCCGCACATCCGGGTATCAAATAGAGCCTCGTGAAAATTTTGATGGGGGAATTATTTCTTAGGGAACCGTAAGGGATAGAAGGCTGAAAAATTCAGAATGATGTTTTCTGCCTATGTAGGGGCCTCACTAACTCAAATTCAATCCCCAGTTATGCCGAGGTCTCACGCAACGCCACATGAAAATTTTCACGCGAAAATCGCTCTAAAAACACAAAATTAAGAGAAGTTTTGGGAGGATTTTCACCATTCCAAGCTTTAAATTCAGCTTTCGCGTGCCGGAATTTCACAAATTAAGGACCAGGCAACATTTCAATTATTTTTGCACAGAACAAAGTGCAGAGTAGTGGAAATCCTTAGCAGGCAAATGTTCACTAGACAGAACTGTGCAAAACGCATGATCGTACCGGTTGCCCTGGTGCGTTCCGCTATTTATTTCATGAGAGTGCAGTGCTATAGCCAAGTACAAACTTCCCGTTTGTCTAGTTAGGCACCACATTCCGGTTCCCTCCACGGGCCGGATTAAAACCAGTCGCAGCCGGATCCTGCCAGCGGGCCGTCGATTGCCCATCCGTGATATAAACAATCAGATCCTCCGTCAGACGAGACGCATGCAGGATATCTTTGCGACCTTGGCAGAAAATAAAATCCGATTGGCATGGCAGGTTT